GTCCAACCCATGATCTGACAGCTGGTATCTTAAGCTTTCTTGGCTTCTGTGATTCCAAAAACGTCGACTGCTGACATTTTTCTTTTGACCAGTGTCTCTTAAGTTTAGTTGTGCTGTCTCCAAGGGAAGTTGACGTGTCCTGTAGAACTCCTGTGTAGATTATGTTTTCCTTTCTGGCCCGAGGGCCCGCCGGGTTTTGCTGGTTCTGACCTGGAAGACGCCTCCTTTTGCTGTTATCCGAGGTGACCTTGCCCAGTAACGCCTCCTTCCTCCCTCTCTGGCCGGGTTTTGCTGGTTCTGACCTGGAAGACGCCTCCTTTTGCTGTTATCCGAGGTGACCTTGCCCAGTGACGCCTCCTTCCTCCCTCTCTGGCCGGGTTTTGCTGGTTCTGACCTGGAAGACGCCTCCTTTTGCTGTTATCCGAGGTGACCTTGCCCAGTGACACCCCCTTCCTCCCTCTCTGGCCGGGTTTTGCTGGGTCTGGAGATACTTTAAAAATGGTGGGAGGAGCCCAGTAACAGTGAACTGACAGAAATACAATCCGGATTTTAAAAAAGGACATGTAACAGAATTATCATTGTTGGCATCACAGGGATATTGGCTGAAAGCAGAAAATATCAGAAATTGCTGTGTTTTCTTGACTGTACAAAGGCATACAGTCATCCAGACCGTACTAAATGATGAATAACATCGTGAAGAATGGGAATCCCAGAACAATTAATGGTGCTCCATCAGAAAAAAAGAAAGAAAGACCAAGAAGTAGGATAAAACAGGATAAAGAGATATTGCCTCTTTGTTTTAAACCAGGAAATGCGTGCATCAGAGGTACATCCTTTCATCATATTTAGTCAATATTTATATTGAGTAAATAAGCCAAGAAACCGGACTATATAAAAAAGAATGTAACACCAGGATTGAAGAATGACTTGTATTTTACACAATCAACATGGGATAAACTAGATATTTGGAACCTTCTAAAAATTAAATCCTTACATAAACTGGAAAAAAAATATAGCAAAGGCTAGAACAAGAACCTAGACTGGAAATAATATTTGGGAATGACATATCTGACAAGAGACTCATCTCTAATATTTGCATAAAATTCAAAAACCTCAACAAGAAAAAGGCAAACAACCCAATTCCAAAATGGGCAGAGAGCATGAATAAATATTCCACCAAAGAAGATATTCAAATGGTCAACACACATGAAAGGAAATGTTCACAATCATCAGCTCTTAGAGAGATGCAAAACAAAACAACAACGAAATACCACCTCCAGCAAAAACAGAGCTGTTCCCCATATCATTAAAACAACAAATGCTGGTGAGGAGAGACTGGAACTCTTACATATTGCTGGCGGAAATGCAAAATAGTGCAACCACTGTGGAAAGCATATGGCATTTCCTTTAGAAATTTGGGAATACATATCATTTGGTCCCACAGTCACACTATGAAGAATATATCCCAAAGAAATAAGACCTGTTACTCAAACTGACACATGCACATCTATGCTTACTGTTGTTGTTGTTGTTGTTGTTGTTGTTGTTGTTGTTGTTGTTATGTGCCATCAAGTCATCTGCAACTCTTAATGCAGCATTATTTAAATCAAAGGGAGCCCTGGAAGCATACTGCCACCCAATGGTATGTGGTTCTAATCCATCAGCTGCTCCACAGGAGAAAGATGGGCAATCTCCTCCCATGTGATTTACTCCCGCTGAAAACCCATTAGAGGGTTAGCTCTGGGTTGGTCTAACTTGATGGTACTAAACAAAAGTTTAAAGCAAAGGGCTGGAAACAACCCAAGCACCCATCGATAGGAAAATGACTAGAGAAACTGTGGTACATTAACACTAGGGAGTATTATGCATCACTGAAAAATTATTTAAAATTTGCAAATACTAAACAACATGGATGAATCTAGAACAAATTAGGTTAAGCAGTAATAATCAGTCACAAAATGACAACTATCTAACTATCTTAAAAGACTACTAATATAAAAGGGTATGGAACAGCTTATGCATACAACAAATAAAACTTGAAGGGTCCAAAGGAATGAAAAAGGAGGGAGAGGGGAGCAAAAATTAGGAAATAGATGAGTGAAGGAAAAGTCAATGACAATACAGGTTTGATTAGACACTGTAATTAATTAATTATTGTTCATGTAAATCAAAATGTCTATGCATGATAGAATGAAAACACTATGATTTGCAAACCTAAAACCTCACTCAAATAAAATAAATTTTAAAAAAATAAGAAGAATGTGACATTGGGATTGGAGAAAAACTCCAATAACCTGCAGTATGCACATAACATAGTCTTGGTTGCTAAAACAAAGAAGACCTAAAGCACTTGCTGATGAATATTAAAGATTACAGCACTCCTTTCCATCATGAATTTTCAAGTTTATGAATTTTATGTTCTCACTGATGTTTTTCTTATTCTCCCAGGATCACCGATCTGCATTTATACAATAAATTCTTATCACTAAGCCACCAGAGCTCCAGTTTAATCTACGTTGGAATGATTTTAATGTCATATAGAATGATATGGAAAATAAAATCAATGTGCACCTCTTTCTCTTCCAGCCAGTATGTATGGTCTACTTCATCTACATCTTTTCCTTTACTGTATTCCAATTAAATTCAAGGTAGAATTCAAAAGTGGCTTAATAGTAACAGTAAATACAGAATGATAGAAGAGAAAAAAATAAAAAGATAAATTATTTTTATTTTAAGGATCAGAAAGCCCCAAATAGAAGATACGGTTGGCCTGTCTGATGGACTACGAGAAATGAGTGAAAGATCGGATAATGAGAAAGGGGGAACTCCAGGTATGTTGTCAAGAGGGACAAGTCCTTGGAAAAGGACATGTGCTAGGAAAGGTAGAGGATCAGAGAAAGAGAGGAAGATCCCGCAACAAGATGGATTGACACAGTGTAACTAAGGGCTCAAGGGTATCAGAGATGGTGAGGATGGTGCAGCATAGGGCCCAGTCCTGTTATTCATAGGGTCACTAAGTGTGGTAGAAGACTCAATGGAACTTTACAACAACAATAGTTATTCTTACTTTAAACAAGGAAGCTGAAGTTTATTGGCATTTACTCAAGTCTAATAAACAACAGAACCAGGCTTTGAATGCAAGCCTGCAATATTGGCACGTAGAAACTGAAAAAAATGAATGAACACACAGAAGAAGTCTTACTTTTACTGTAAGTGAATGTCTGAATCCATCTCTGAATATATTAATCCATCTCTGTAAGACTACATTAATAGATGAAATTTCAATTGATTTTTCATTAAGCCATACTTACTGTATCCATTTTAAGGATGAGATAAGTAAGGCAAGGTTCAGTTAGTTCAATCACCTAACAAGTAAAAGAACAGATACCTAAATTCAGGTCTGAGTCAGAGAAAGTCAATCATATGGTTGAGCATGTATGATCTCCCTGGGAACTCAATCCATTATTATTATCACTACAGATAAGATAATTGAAAAATCAGGTAAGGTGAATGAATTGTTCAAGGTAAAAGAAGACGGAGTTCCAAAATTGGACCCAAGTGTCCTGACTTCAATCAGAGTTCTTAGTCTCACTCTAAATAAACTGCAAGACAGGGAGGAAACTGGAGCCAACTAGTGGCCAATCTCAGAAATTTGCCAGCATGCGAACTCACTGATGACTGTTGTAGACAACATGGTCAACTTACGCTCTGGAAATAAAGTCCCTCAAGAGACATGTTGACACATAAAGTTTTGAAACACACTGATGTCTTTATCTATTCCAATTAGGTTAACAACAACATGGATTAGATATATTTAAATTTCCTAAGAAGGTCAGCTCTGTAGCTATTCAGCAAAACCTCACTTATTTTGAACAATTTACTGACAGGCTGCTGCAAGATGCTGAAATATCTTCTTTAGCATGAAGGGCATGAGAAGTACACATCCAGTATCATATATATTTCATTGCACAGTGGTGTAGAAACTGTAAGCTGACCACCAGCTGATTAACTACACCTCCCTTCTCAGTGAAATACAGGAAGCAGGAGGAAAGGGGAGGGAGAAATCACCTGGGAAAAGGGTTGATATTTTACATTTCATTTTGTCTTTTGGCTGCCAAATATCAAATATACCAAACATTCTCCGAAGCTGACTACCAAGGGTTGCCCAAGTCGAGCATTCCTCAATAACAAACAAGAGTTACAGACTTTCACTCACCCTCACATTCTGCACCAATTTTTCTGGTATCCCAAATACCTTAGTTCCTTCCAATTGATCCACCTTTCCTTGCATTCATTCTGTCCTAAATTCCTCCCACTTCTTACATACCGCTCCTCGCCTCCCCCAGCTAACTCCCAGCTCCACCGTCCTCCTCACCAGGTGCAGGGCCAGGGGCAGCAGCAGCAGGAACAGCCACAGGTACAGGTGACAGCTGTTGGTGAACTTGCTCTGCTCGGGGTCATGGTACCAGCCCCCGGTGAGCGCGGCCCACACGCCCTGGCGGAGAAGCTGCAGCGCCTGGGATGTCATGCTGGCTGCTGGCCAGGGGTCAGCCCGGGCTGCAGGAATCCCCCTGCACGGCTAGTGCCCGGCTTCCCCGGCCGGGCTGCCGCCGCCGCCCCCCTTCGCACCGCGACCCCCGCTCCAGCCGCGCCAGCTGCCTGCTGCAGGCCACCTGGACCGCGCCATGCCAGAACTAGGAAGGATTTTCCCATCATGCCCCGAGGCTCTGCTGATGCTGCTGCAGAGGCTCCTCCCCAGCTCTTGGCTGCGCCTCCTGAGTGCCAGGTGTGAGCTCTCCCAGACCTCTTCCTCCTTTCTGAGGCCCTCCTAGTCAAGGGGACAAAAGGCTTGACCATCAAGGCTCTGCTCACGCAGAAAGAGCAGATGAGAATACTCTCCTTCACTGTCCCCCTTTTTGATGTGTATTCTAAAAATTTACCCATTTTCTAATAAGTATTACATTTCCATACTATTTTCTTAGCTATAATCTTTTTTTCACTTTTAATTATTTTATTATTTTTTTATGTGTGTGTATCATCAAATCGGATCTGACTGGTACAGGAGAAGATTGCCCCTCCTTCTCCAGCAGAACATCCGCGATCCACATACCTCCGGGATTGCAATACAGCTTCTTGCCACTAGGCCTTCCAGAGCTCCCTATCTTAGCTATATATTTTTTTATTATTAATTATAATAAAAGCATATAATGGCATATAATGGCAGCATCAGGATGGATGGTGAAGAGATTGAGATTGTTAACAAATTTAGTCTGCTTGCCTCCACTGTCAACACCCTTGGCACCAGCAGCCAGGAAATCAAAAACGTATTGTGATGGGAAAGTCTGCTGTTAGGGACCTCTCCAGGGTACTGAAGAGCAATGGTGTCACTCTGGAGACTAAGGTGCGTCTGATACAGGCCATGGTCTTCGCAATCACTTGTTATGCATCAGAGAGTTGGACAATGACTAGGGAGGATAGAAGGAGAATTGATGCCTTTGAGCTGTGGTGCTGGAGAAGAGTATTGAGTATACCATGGACTGCCAAGAAAACCAATTCATCCTGGAGATGGTTAAACCAGCTTGCTCCTTGGAAACAAGGATTCTGAGGCTTCGTCTGGCATACTTAGGACATGTTGTAAGGAGAGACAGGTCCTTGGAGAGGGACATCACGCTTGGGAAGGTGAAGGGATGGTGCAGAAGGGGAAAACCCTTTATGAGGTGGATTGATCCAGTGACTGGGGTAATCGGGATGGGTGTGTCAGAGGCAGTGAGATTGGCACAGGACAGAACAGGGGTTAGGGCTGTTGTACATTGGGTCGCTATGAGTCGCAAGTGACTCGACGGCACATAACAACAACAACATAATGAAAGTTTACAGAGACTTCGGATTTCCATTCACTTAGCTGTAATCTTAACAGAAGTTGATTACCAAGCCTTTTATTCACTGGGCGGGTTAAAATCTAATTATAACTCTTACTCTAAATTTACCATAAATTTAACCCCTAATATTTACCGTAACCATAATTCTGAGATTAACACTAGACCAAGTTTTCTCTCGAATCTAGACTAACCCTTAATCCTAACCCAAACTCTAAACCTATTTTCTTTTACTTTAATGAAAGTTTACAGAGACTTTGGATTTCCATTCATTCGTTGTTGTTGCAACTTTGCTTCTTGCCCACCCCTCTCCCCAGTTCTCTTTTTTCTTCGAAAAATAAAAAAAAAATCTTTCATTGTTATACAGTCTCCCCCGCCCACCTGCTCCACTATGTAGCTTTCAATCTGGACTTTTGTCATGAAACTAATACCTAATCATGTATTCCTCCTAAACAGTTCTCTCTCTCATTTATTTCAATGCAGTATGAGACCGGTCCTTAGAGAGGGACATCATGCTTGGGAGGGTGGAGGGAC